ATGAAGTCAATGCTTTTTTCTGAAAATCTTTCAGAATAAGTTCAAAGAGGAAATCTCTGACCAGATTCAGAAGAAAGCACCTAGATATAGGGCTCATAATAGAGTCATGAAAGTCTCTCATACTGAGTGAGAGTGACTTGCCTTGCTTAGTAGATTTGAGTTGTTTTTGTTAGACATGTATTAATTATTCAATGATGTGAATATAGATGGAATTCTTCAATGCAATGGTAATAAAATTTCACTTTTTACTAGACATACATTCAATCACATGAAGAAAAAAGGAAAAAAGAAAAGAACGTAACATGGAAACAACATCCTTGAGCCTAAGCAAAATTTAACATGAAAATTCAAATACCATATGTAAAAAATTGGTTCAGCGTGATAAAATAGGCCCACATTTGATTCAATCCTGGCTAAAGGAGAAACTTTGTTTAGAATATTGCTTCATCCCCTTCTATAATAAGCCTTTTTTATTACAAAAAAAACAAGCTTATTTTCTTGAAAGAATAAAAAAATTGGGAAATCCTTCTCTTTGTTTTTGCTTTTGTTGAGGGGTTTATAAAATGATTTACCATTAAAATTAACTCTTCATTTACTCTATTTAGATGGGAAGAAAAGTTGAGAGGAAAGAAAATAGAAAGAAAAGAAAAGTGAAAGTAAAATGTTATCACTTGTTATGTTTGGATAGATAGGAAAAAGTAGGAAAGAAAGAAAAAAGAATAAATATCATAATGATTATAATATTTTTATATTAATATATATCACATCTAAATTAATTATCTTTGTAAAAATAAATCAACAGAATAATTTATATTAAAATTAATATCATCAAACTAATTTAAAATCAAATTCGTTGTTAAAAAAATGTAGAAAGCTAAAGATACAAATTATGTGTCTATTTCTTAAAATCATATTAACTATATTAAAATTAACATCATCAAATTAAATTATATTAAAATTAATTGTTAAAATTAAATTAGTTCTAGAAAGCTAAAGACAAATTTTCATGAAGATCAAAATCTAATTGCTCATGAGAAATAAATATGGTTGAAGTGGGCAAAAAAGGGAGAGAGAGGGGAGGTTAGCTTGTGGAAATAAGAGTTTACTTTCAAAATTTTCCCACTTTTGGGGAGGAAAGTTGTGGGATAAATGTTCATATTCAATAATTCAGGTCTTTGTATAGGCCTCTTAAAATTACCGTGTTTAAGATAGATTTCTGGGTGGTATAAAAGTACATACTTCAAATGAGAAGACGTCTGGCTGCAACAAATACAAGGCAAATTACTTATGCTTGTAGAAGATCAAAGTGGAGAAAAAGAAATGGTGCACAAACACATAAATTATATTATATTTTTTGTATTTTTTTAAATTCATTAATATATATTTTTTAGAAAATAAATAATGTTCAAGTTAGTATAATTATATTTTTTATTTAATAAATTATTGTTTCAAATTTTAATATTAAAAAAAGTGACGTTTTCATTTAAAAAATAGTGTTTCTTTAGTGTTGAATGATAGGTGTGAAAGAAAAATGATTGATAGGAAAAGCTTATCGGGTTGATAATGCAGCCATTTAGAGTTGGTACCGATATATAAACGTTTAGCTAAGAAAAGAAATACATGGCTGGAAATTATAATCTCATAATGCATTGTACAGGAATGTAAAGCTACGTACATTCAAAATAAAATGGTTGTATGAGCACAATAAACATAAAAAGTTCTTAAATTATAAAGTCAAGGCATTATATTTAAATTAAATATATTTGCACGATATAGATGAAAGCATTATATTTAAAATAAATTGTAAAATGTAATATTATAAATAGAAAACTAACAGTTTTAAGTACTGTTTGAAACTGTTTTTAATTTATTATTCTGAGAACCAATATTTTGTAGAATATATTTTGAGAATAAAAAAATAATAAAAATAGGTGTTTTTTTATGTTCCTTTATTTTTTAGAACAATAATTACAGAACATTTAAAAGTTGTTTTTATTTTTCTGTTTTTTAGAATAATATTTTATTTTTTGTTCTTCAAAACACTTTTGAAAAACATATACCAAATAAAATTTTTTATTCTCTTATTCTGGAGAACAAAAAAAAAATGTTCTCAAAACATGTTTCCAAACAGGTCCTTAATTTCTCTGGATGAAAGATGTTACACAAGCAAATCTTGTAATCAATAAATTAGTATAAGAGTTATTCATTATGTTTGATTAACGATGCATCGCCTAGGGAAGTAAAAGTATGGTATGTGACATTTTTAAGGGATTTTTAAGAAATTTATGATCATCAAAATATTGGTAGAAGAACAACTATGGATGTTTAAAAACATATCTTTAAGAACTTAGGCTAATGAGATGTTATGCACCTATTTTGATTGTCATCCCTTTTTTATGCTTGATTTTATGATGTTGTAGTAATGGATTAATATTTTTTTAATTGGTAATAGAGGTTGTAAATAGATGAAATGAAATTTCTTTATGTTAGGAATGCATTCTGTTACATAATAAAATAATGGCATACAAACTAATATAGCATCAATAAAAATAAATATAAAGTGTGGTGTTTAATTTAATATAAAATAAAAGCTAGTTGTTCAAATAGCAACAACTTAACTTATCTAATTATCAAACAAAATCTTCAACCCATCCACACTTTTCACTCTTGAAAGAACAACATAATATTGTCCATGCATAAATACAGGCTTGGGTAGATAATATGGTTCATGCATAAATCTAATTACACGTACGGGAAGCCCATGCTTTTGGTTGTTACAATGGAGTAATAATTTCATACTTAATTACTTGGATTAATTAAAATATGAAAATATTGTATTAGATTTACCTATAATTTATTAGAATAAATTACATGAGCAATTGAGATATATAAAGAAAGCCATAACTGGCAATTAATCTTGTGGAATTAGGCTTACAAAGTTCAAAGTAGGAGAAGGCCGTGCACGCATTATACAATAATCGACCAAATTTTGATAACCTTTGTACAAGTTCATTATAAAAATAACAAAGCTAATAAATTTTTGCACATGTAAAAAATTTAGACCTAAAAAGAATAAGTTTCAAGGTATTGATTGCTGTTTTCTATCTCACAATTAAATGAGTGTTACGTCTTTATTTTCTCTTGGGTTACGAGGAACGGCGATTTCCTTTTCTTTTCTCCAATCTTGAGAGGTGACATTAGGAAAAGTTAAAAGTAATTTCAACCTATGAGCCTATTTTTGTTAGTCATTATTGTCGAAGCTTTTGGCCAAAGATAAAAAATATTGTTGAAGCTATTCTCCCATCCCTTTCTTAAGCCTATTTCTGCTAGAAATTAGAAAGGAACAGTGCTCATTGACAGCAGCAATGGAGGATAAATGATAGGAAAAGAAGAGTGCTACAAATGAAGCGGCTGTGAAGAAATGGAAAGGAAGGCAAAGTGATTTTTTGACTCTCACTACTAACTACTAAGTAAAAGGTTTGATAGAAAAACAATTACATATAAAAATTTAGGGTATGTTTGGATTTTAATTGGAAAAAATTGATTAAGAAAAAAATTAATTATTAGAATGTAATGGTGTTTGGATAAATTTTCAAAAATTAATTATGATATTGATTTTTCAAAATGGAACAAATTTTAACTTATTCCAAATAGAGTTTTGAAAACCAAATAGGGTTTGGAAAAATTGGGGTGTTTGGATAAGATTTTTCAAAACCATGGTTTTGAACTTAAAATTAATTTTAAAAGGATATCCAAACAATCTCTTAACTACTTGCTAAGTTTTGATAAAAGCTCGTAAAATTTACTTAATACCCTTAAGCAAACACCATTTTTTATTAGAAAAGAGTGGTAGTGTATGAGAATTGTTTTGCTTCCATGGCATGTCTTTTTGAAAGCACAATGATTTATTATGATGGCTTCAATTTTAATTAAAGAAAAAAAATATATAACGAAATATCTAAATAACTAATAATTTGACATAAATATAGTTAAGTTTAACAAAAAACCAATAAACTGGAATTTTTCAATGAATAACAAAGTTAAACTTGCACTTACTACCATGTGTCATGCATGGGAAGAATATATTTATTTTATATTTAATCAAGATAGCTTGACAAACAAATGTTACAAAAAGACAGAACAATCAGTATCACAAATATCTAAACCATATAATTGTACTTGCATTCATATCATTGAACCAATTTGCATCTAGCTATACAACAGAGTAATCAAAGAATGAGAAGTGAAGATTACATAAAAGTTCCTTAAAAACATGTTGGAAAACATCCCTTGGTAATAACAATTCACTTTCAACTTATGTATCATTTTCCTCCATATCACCCTCTCTGATAATTGGAATAGTAGGTCCAGATGGAAGAAAAATCCAGCTTATCGCAAAGCCTATCATCAGACTCCAATTCTGAATGCAGCACAACCAATATTATAATAAGATTAGGATAAATTATTTGTATAAAAAATAGAAGAAATTATTCTAACAAACACTCAAGAACAATGCTTACAAACACATTATCAGGCAAGATCTTGTCCAAATAGTAAGGAATTAATATTCTTGATCAAGAAAAATAAGAAGTAGCAAGATAGCAATGATGAAATTAATGAAATAATGTGAGGAAGACAAAAGCAGGTCATTTATCATCACTAAGCATTACAATTGTGTTGGCATACCAAAAGAATTAAAGAAATCGCTCCGTCTGTGAACTATACGACACAAACATAAAGCCACAAATAACTCAAACAAATGATATTTCTTAATTAGAAATAAGACAAGAATCTTAAAGTATAACCTTTTGGCAATTACTTCAACCTGGGCATCCACAGATCACTCCCTTTGGAAGACTTAGGAAAAATTCTTCATTACAATCAAGCATAAGATGCCACCCAGATGTAGTCTCACTTTTGAAATGTTATGCATTAACTTTAATATTGTAAGAGTCCAAACCCATATGCTAACACTGAACATAAGACTAACTTGATCAAGCCGCTTAGAATCAGAGTCTTCCTCTGAACTGTTATCATACCGTCCATGGTTGATCCATCATCTTCGACAAAAGGACCTAGTAAACTTTGCAGTGTCACTAACTTGAACATCAAGTTTAGCTAGAATTGACTGTAATTTACGAATGGAAACAGTTGTGGAGACTGAAAAACTGATAATGTTTTTACCATTCTGTTTCTCAATGCCTTTCTCCATATTCAGTGAATGACTTAGCTTGTGGAGCTGATGAAAACTCCTAGTTATCTTGTCGAATACATGATTCTCTTCAGTTCTGTCCCCATTAGTAACCTCTTACAAAGGCAATGCCAAACATATCTGCACTTTGTGGTGTTATTTGTATGAATAAAAGAGTCAGCAAAGCAAAATCTACAAACAGCAGAACATAATCTATTCAAGGTTCTATTAAACTTGCTGAAATGTCTCTGACAATAAAATACTTGTTGTGAAGAGTGGTTATGAAGTAAGAAATGAAAAATATTCAGATACTTTGGAGAAAGAAGCTACAGAAGCCAGAGGCAAAGCAGATTAAGTTGGGGAGTTTTTCAGCACTGATGACAACATCATATTCTCAGCTATTATCAAATAAAACTTGTTCTGTGCATGATTCTTCTGTTCTTCATTCTTAGTCCAAGGTGAATTCCCATTAGAAACAACAATATTGTTACTATGGCATTACATTATAAATAATCTTTAAAACTTCAAATCAGATTTCAATACAATAGGGAGATCTCTACTGACTTTCACGAGTCATGTCCAACCTACAGCCAGCAACATATAAATAAATACCGAACGAAACGTAATGAGAAAACTGCTAAAGTATTGGGAAATCTTAGTCCATATGCATGCCTTAAAACCTTTTCCATTCCTCATTCACCTTGCAAGATTCAGTTTAGAATAATAGTACTCCAATAATTCGCTAGCCTCTTGCTCATGACCAAGGACAAAATTCCTTAAAAAGTAACTTTTCAGAAAATTTAAATAATGCAAGCATGTCTTCTTTTTCATCAGACACATTGACAAAAGAATAATGGCAGCACCTCTTGGAACAATTTGCTTATTTAAAATCAAAGCTAAAACGGCTAGATATTGAAAACGTTTCATCAGCTAGCAGGCATGCAAATTGAAATCACAATCAGCAAAAGCAGAAGACCAAGCGAAATTGAAGTGAGCATTTGTCTAAGAAAAGAGAGCAAAAGGGGACTTACCTTTAAATATCTTGTGCCAACACCAGTGTTTGTATTGATACTGAGAAGCAGTATTGTTAAAGTTCCAATGCATCCAGTCCTGCAAATCACCATGAAAGAAAACAACATAGAAGTTAGGATTAATAAATTCTCTTCAAACTCTCCTCGCCATATTGCAATATCTCAAGAAATGTAGAGTGGTTTCTTCACTTTCACAATTATAATAGCAGTGTAAATGTATAGTGAGTCCTTCTTAAGCTCTCATGCAGTTAGTAGGCAGTCTATCGTGGGTATCAAGCCAAAGGAAGCTTTTAATTTTTTTAGGGAGTTGGCCCTTCCACAGCTTTCTCCAGAGACCACTGGTGTTAGTGAGCAAGTACCGCTTGATGAAGTTGTAAGCAGCCTTCACAGAAAAGGTGCCATCAACAAAATTACACCAAACGAACCTATCCTGTCCAAGGTGAGGGTGAATCTTGACAGTGGATATGGCAGACAAGACCTCAACCGAGAGAATATTACTGTGGGCAGCCAGGTTCCAAGACTGATTCTGAGTGAGAAAGTCACTAACAGGGGCTGAGGGATTGAAGTCTCTTGTATTAAGGTAGTGAATGAGAGGTTCCTCAAGAGGTGATCATTTGTCCCACCAGAAGCTAGTGTCATGGCCGGTGCTAATTCTTTTTCCAATACCCACGGAGAAATGTTCCAAACTTCCAAGATTCTGTTCTAAGTGTGGGACGAGGGATCTGCACGATTAAAAATGGGTTCATTAAGAGTAGACTAGCCGTACTTCACCTTAAGGCATTAGACCCAGAAAAGTTGAGGCTTGGTAAGAAGATTCCAACAGGGTTTAAACATGAAGGCAGTGTTTTGAATGTAAATATCTTTAATCCCAAGACTGACATCAGGCTTCTCTTTGATGATCTCATCTCAAGCAATGGAATGAAGCTTCTTGGAACTAGTATGTTCGTTCCACAGGAATTTCCTACTCATTTTGCTGATGTCAGATAAGACCCCTTCAGGGAGGAGCATAGATTCCATCAAATGGTTAGGAATGGCATTGATAACCGATTTGACCAGAATAGTTCTACCAGCTGAATTTAGAAACTTACCTTTCCAGGCAGACAACTTCAACTGATTCCTGCTAGTCATGGGGTTGAAAATGTGTTTGGTAACGCGACCATGGAGGATGGGGGTACCCAAATATTTGCCAAGGTCCACAATCAGACCGATCCCTAATCTATCACTAAGCTCAGATTGACTATTGAAATGCGTCATGCTAACTGCACGATGAGAATTTAGAGCCTAAGTACCCTGCCAAAGGATTGAAGCCCATGTAATTCGGGGTTGTAATCTTACTTGTTGGTATTTTATAGTTTTAGAGAGACATTAATTGAAAAATGAATTTCTATTTTATAAATAAAATAATTTTTTTAAAAAAATGTGGTTACATGTTTGGACATGCAAAAAGTAATTTAATTTTAATTATTTTTTTAATTTTAAATTTTTGAAATAAAAAAAGAAAGAGTTTTAAATTCTTTTTATCATTTTTTTTTGAAAATTTAATCGTTTTACCTGTGGAGCTTTAATGACTCACATGGTAATATAGTTATTTTAAATTTTTACAGAGATTTAAAAATCTTACACGAAAAGAGAATCAAATATATTTTTTTATATTATTGCTTTATATACATTTTTTTTTATGATATCAATATGCTTGTGAAAACTTATTGTTTCACACGACAACTCGATCAACTAGATAAATCGACAGAGATATATGGATCTTATGTGGTATAATATTTTATTTATTTATTTTTTGTATTTTTCTTTTAAAAGAATTTAAATCGTTTTACGTGTGGAGCCATATTAACTCACACGGTAATATAATTATTTTAAATATCTATGAAAATTCAGAAATCTCATATAACAAAAGGATCTAATTGTCTAAACATGTTTATAAGATAATATTTATTTTTATATACATTGTGTAATATAATATTTATTTTTATATACATTGTGTAATATATTTTATATTAATGTTTATTATATTATTATTTACAAATTCCATTTATTTATTTACTACATATAAATTAATGATCATGACATCTGTGAGGACTTATTATCCCATACGATAATATAATTAATTCCAATTTTTGCCAAAAATCTTGAAATCTCAAACAATATTCAAATACTTTATTGATTTAAATTATAAAATAGAGAATTAATTTGAATGATGGATCATTGAAACCTACTTTTAATATGTACAATATTGATTCTCAAACCTATAAAATTTTATTACTTTACACGATATGAAATCGTTCTAAATGCTTATACAGATTCTTAAAATTACATGCGACAAATAGATGTAAATATTATAAATTAATAAAAATCTTACCATCAACAAATAATTGTGGTGCTCATGGTCAAGAAATAATTTCAATGATGGGGTCTAAAACGTACAAAAGGAAAAGGACAATCAAACTGTGTTCCTTCTTTGGTTTTTCATGATTTGCATTCTCTCCAAATTAGGCTTAGTGCTTGCCATAACAAGGCAATCCCATGAATCAACCATAGGTTTTGATGAGCTCAGATTGTAGAATTTCAAAACACATCACTTGGTAGTTGGTACCATGCCACACAAAATAATTCATATAATGTATACAAATTTAAAAAAATGCCCTTGTTGCTCCACTAATCCCATAAACGTGTGGTGACAAATGGAAAAGATTCACTGAACAGTAAACTAATATCCATCCAATTTTGAAATTTTAGCATACATGATGAAGAGAATTACAAGTGGGTTTTTTTTTTTTTAAGTGCAGCTTTTTCGTTTTTGGAGTCTAAAGCAATCAAGAATATTATATAACCAACAAATCAAAAGTCCACTCTTTTCAAACCAATATCCTTCTTTCAAACATTTGATCAAACATTTAGAATAAAGAGCAAACATGATACACTCTATTATCTATTTTCAATAAACAGATATCAAATTCTAAAATCACCCAGAGCAAAGAGAAATAGTTTACAAGATTCAAACCATTCCAAGTTTAAATTCATATAAAAAATTTATGAGGTTAACATTATATTAATTAAGCCTTGAAGAATGAAAATGCAAATTTGTTGCCCATTTGAAACTGAGTCTTTCCTCTCTTGTTCATTAACTTTCTTCTTTACTCTCTATTTTGTGCACCTTCTAGCTTCTTCAAGTGCTCAATTGCTCGTTGCTTCCTTTCGATCACTCGACAGCGGACCTCCTCTGCGTCGAACTCCCCCCCTTCTTTCGTTCTCTCAAAGCTCCGATTTCCAAACTTGGACCTCGTTCCCCACTCGTCTCTCTCAAGCTCAAACTTCCTCTGCATCAAACTCCTAACAATCTCTTTCGTGCTCTCCAAGCTTTCCCCCATCTGAATGCTTGGTTCTTATATGGGCAAAATGGAGTTGGATAGTCAAAAATCATCATAACTCACTGCCCTTTGCTTCTCCAATCCCATACACCTCAGTATCTCACCTATACCTTTCCTCCCTTTTTCTCTCTGCATTGCTGCTTTTGTGTTGCTCTGGATTGGATTTGTATCCTGTACCCACTTGCTGTGTTGCGTTTTTTTCCTATTCTTGGCTGCCTTTGCACTTCTCTCCTATTCTGCATGTGTTGATTAGAGATGGGGAGGTTTAAGATTGACTGGAATGCTGAAGTAATTAGCGTTTCAATCATCCTATTAAAAATTTTTGTTTTTTAGTTAGAAAAATCTATTTTTTAATTGAGAGAAAACCTCATATATTTTTAATAATTAAGCAAAAATAATAAGATTTAAGAAAATTTAAAAGAATTTAATTCTTAAAAGTTGATTTCCATTATCTTTAAATTTTTGAGATGATTTGGGCAAGAGTTTTTCAAAGATTTAAGTAATAATTTTTTCTTGCTTTTCAAAATTGATTTTGAAGATATATTAAACTTATTCTCTTGTTTATTATTATTATTTTTGAAAAATAATCCTAAAAAAGAATTAAATTTTATTTTTTATATTTATTATTTTTTTTGAAGTATAATTTTTTAAAAAGAAGCAATATTTCATTTTCTTCATATTTCATCTTTTTTTTAAAATTAATTCTTAAAAAATTAAATTTCCTTTTTATATTTTTACATTTTTTGGATTTTTGTATTAAAAAGATAAAAACAAAGATATTTAAAAATAAAGACTATTAAAGGACTAAGCAAGTATTTCTATATTTGTGTTAATTTTTCTGTTAAATGTACAGATAAAATATGGTATTCACAAAATGAATGCTTGTAGAATAGAAAAGTTTAGATTTGTGCAAGTTGACTCTGTGACCCATAACTTGACAAAACTCCATCATAGTTTTCTTGAGAAAATCGATTTGATCTAAAAGCGCTTCCAAGAAGAGGAAGAGGTCATTAGCAAAAAAAAGATGTGAGAGAGAGGGCCTATTAGGATTAAATTTGATCAACTTCCAATCTCCATTAGCAATCAAGTTATGTATAGAATGACCTAATCATTCCATGAAGAGAATGAAAATGTAAGGACTAAGTAGATCACCTTGCTATTAGGATAGGCTAGCACCTAAGAAGGGATGAATTGGATAACACTTAAAAACTTTTGAAAACTTGAAAAGAGTGAAGAATTGAAGTGTGAAGGAAGAAAATGAAACACATGAGATTTATATTGGTTCAGCCACAAACTTAGCCTATGTCTAGTTGTGAAGATTACACTTGAGATTTTTAACTATGTTCATAAGCTTCAATGAGTACTTGCTACCACAGTACAAGTCTTAAGACAAAACTTATCTTGAATCACTCAACAAACCTTGCTACAATCTAACAAGTTGTTAAAAATACTTGAAATTTTTTTTTCAAGATTTCTGAGAAAATAAGATAAGCTTTTGTGAAAAACTCTCTTAAAGAGTAGATGAGATTACAATTGAAAGCTTATAAATTTTTGAGAGCTTTTCACAATTCTTTTCAAGAATAATGAATGAATGCAAGATTGTAAAAGTACAATTTGAAAGCTCTTTAAATGCACAAATGATAATTTGTTCGCTCAAGGATCATTAGTTTCTTTTTTAGTTCAAAATGAATCACTTATATAGTTTTAGAAATTGACAGACCATTGGAATAGTGATTCTATCCATT